AAAACTCTAGACAAACAGCAAAAGCAACAGTATCTATTTTAACTGTCCCTGAAATAAAAAAGGATCACTTCAAGGGAGGTGAAAGTAATGTAGCTGATAATGGAAACAGCAGTTTATCTTACACATTTGGAAATGCAGGTCGTTTGCTTCTGTCACCTGGGCAGACCAACGACAGATGCTGGCAGTGGGTTTAATCAGGAGGTATTAACACAGGAAGGGGCTGGGACACCCTGCCCGCTCCTGGCAGCACCACTGGCCTCTGCATACAGCACATTCCCACAAGTTTTCGCTACCAAACCACCACCAGCTGGGGGTGAATCTCAGTCTAACCTCTGAAATTCTGAATTATCTCACCTCGCATCCAGCAAATGCCACCAAAGTTGAGTACCCGTTTAAAAATTCCTTGTTCTAACACAGGATTCCCCATCAGCTTCCTCCCATCTCCTGTGCTGAGCACTCGGCAGCCCTCAGCCCTAAATCCTCACCGCAATCTCTCCACTGGCCTATACTGCACCTACCCTGCCAGTGTACACTGTACTGGCCCCACCAGGCTGCTCACACCACCTCCGGACAGCAAATCTCAGCAATATAAAAGGGCAACAGAAATGTTTTAAACAGGCTTGCATCCATCTTCCCAGCACCCAGCCTCACCAGACCTTTCAGCACCCCATCAACTTCAGCTGCGGGACTCCCAACCCATGTGCAGTCAGATGCCCAACATACCCCCTGAAAAAAAACTGCCCCAGAAAGCAGGTTTGTGCCCTGTAGCACAATCAAAGAAAGTTCTAGTGGCAGGATGATTTTCTCCATGAGCCACCCTCTCCAATATCTTGAAAACAAGATGGAGCAGCCTGCAAATTGGTTTTATTAAAATAATAGCAGCCATTCTAATTGAAAAGAGAAATTAAAATTGAATAGAAAAAAACTGCAACGAAGACTTTATACATTGGCTTTCTAACCTTTTTCGGGGACTGCCTAAATGAAGTTTAGGGGGACTGAAGTTGGCACGGATAGCTATCAAAAGATCCAACTATTCTTTCAGCTTCATCCCGTATCACCAGTTATCCGAACTCCTGGGTTAAATCATATAATGGATTTCAGCTTCTCTCCCCACAGCAAACTACTGCTTCAGATCCTAAAACCTCCTTGAGAACCTATTCCATAAATAAATCCCAACTGTCTTGTTAAGATACACTGATGACAAAGACTTGTACATTAAGAGGAGATAAAGCCTTTTTTTGTTAATGTCACTTCATCACACTGCATTGTTTGAAGAACTGAGCCTTTGATGACCATCCCTCTGTGACATACAGGATTTTTCCTTTGCCCTCACAGCAGGCAAGGGCACCATGCTGATTTCCACATTTCCTACATGAATACAAGAAGAAAACCACTTTCTCCTAAGTTAACGTGAAATGGACAGTACTTAAACATCAGCTCAGGAAGGATCACTTTGGGCACGGTTATTGTGCTGTTTACACAAGCCCTTCCTGGTGACATGCATCCCAGACACACCACCTCACCTTTCTCAATCGCAGCAGCTCTAACCACCCTGCTGCTCAAGTCTCATCGTAACTCAAATGTTCCCATTCTCAAAAGGTGGAAGGTACCTACAAATATTTAAAAAGGTCAAGGCCTCACTTACATACCTCCTTCACAAATTACTTATGTGTAAGAGCAGTTGTAGACCACTTTGCCAAGAGGTAAAAAAATTACACTCTACACTGGGAAATGCAGTGTGCCTAATTTAACTACCTGTTTATTATGTGAAAATGACCATGTAAACTGAGCTGACACAAACCAAATGGGTGATGAAAATAACAGCACATTTAAAGGAGTGGAAACACAGATGGCTCTCTCAAGTCTGCAGGAAGTTACTAATCATCACTCTGTAATACCCTCTACAGACAGATCTGTGAGCTCTGCAGCCAGAACAGCAACTTCTTGAGACCTATCCATCTAACCAACAGCAAGCCTGCAATGAATGGATGAATCATGCTGCATTTGCTGATGTGGAGTCTGTTACCAAAATGAGCTTATATGAAGAAGAAAACAACTCAGGTGCTAAATTAGACACATTAGAAAATGAAGTAGCCACATAAGAAGAGTTTGTGTGATTTTATTTTTTTCTTAACAACACAGGCAGATTAACATAACCATCTGTCTATCTGTGCTGTAGGAAGAATGAGCAAGATCAGACACGGATTATCAAGGAGTGGATAAGAAGACATCCAAAAGAAATGCTTTGGGAAAATACACTGCATTTAAGGAAGCAGGTAACTAAAGAAGTCACAATATGTAAAGAGTCATTCTTGCAAGCATCTGCTCTACTGGAAGGGATGGATCCAGCCCTACCATGTTGCACATCTTCCTCAGTCTCTGCCCCAGGCCTGGTCCTGTTCCCCTCCCACAACCATCCAAAACCCCGCGTGGGAGCGGAGAGCACCCCAAGCAGAAAGCCTCCACCAAGCCACCATGTCACTGAGCCGGGGGCAGCCAGGGGCAGGAGATGGATTCAGTTTTATATACAAATTCTGTGAGCCAAAACTGTCAGAACCAGAGCAAACTATATGCAAGTGAGATCATATATAACGAAATTAAAACTTGTAGACAATTAATTAACCAAATTAACTTGTAGACAACAGGTTAATATCCTTGCAACTTTTACTCTAGTCTATTATCCACCACTCAGAAGTCTGGAAGAAAAACCGCTATTCTGTGAGAAGTGTTAAAACACATTTTGTTCTTAGTTCAGCCAAAAGGAAAGAATCCAATTGCAAAAGTGTTGAAGGCAACCAGAGCAAAGCAGTGAGTAATTAACTGTAAATAGGTATAAATAAAGCTAATGGAGGCTTTGTATCCCAGGTGCTTCATCAAGTTTACAATAGCTCAAAGCCCAATCTAGTTTACAAGTGGCTCTTTTGGCACCTTTCCTTACTCTGCAATTCCCCCAACTTTTACACTATTCTTCATGAACAAGATACAACAACTCAAAAAGTTTAAGAGCTCGGATTCCTGAGTGACAAGACTAGAGGCCGTGAGTGTAGAGCTGCCCTGCTGCGGGCTGGCGGCAGGGCTGCTTCATCTGCGGGACCTCTCTTGTCCAGGCTCCTCAATGACTGCAATGCTCTGGAAATGGGTATTTTCTCCCGCCTACAAGCTGCTCCCAAAACTCCCTTTCAGCTACTCGAGGCACATTGTTTGTGACTTGTGGCGCTTGGTCATGCAGAGGTTTTCACAGGCAGCTCCCAAGGTCACGGAGGCGACCGCACTGGGCCTCAGCTGAAAGACAGCCCCCCGGGGCCAATCTTCTCATGCAACCCTCATGTGTTAAATAAAGTGGGATGTATCCCAGTCATCACTTCAGACTCCAAACAGCTTACAACAGTCTAGAAATCCAACTTACAGAATTTTTACTCAAACTCTGTGATACTTAAAATATCTGTGAGATGTGGAATGTGTCTGATACTCTTTTACTGTGCAAACTCAGCACACTGCATTCTAAAATATTTCACAATTTAAAGCAGTATGGTAGCCTGCATAATTTCATGTCCTATTTGAACACACACAGCATGGAAAAGTAATAGGGAATATTCTGGATTTCTGACAAGAAATTATTAATGAAAGGTGGCCCTTGTGCTTTTCTGTCTGTTGGTAATAACATAAACAACACAAAATCCATGAAATTCCTGAGCTAAGAACAGGAAGAAAAAGCTAAACTAAACTACTAAAAAAGCCTCTCATCTATAAACTGGTCATCATAAGAGTGAAAACAAGGTTCTTGATCCCTGACACATATATGTACAGTACATGAAGCTGCACTAGTTCAACTATGGTGCCTGGTCTAGCAAAATGCTTTCATACTTGATTAACTACATCAGTTAAGGTTACTGTGACTGTTGCTTAAGAATGTTCATTCCCACTTCCACAGAGACAAAGGTTATTAGTTCACTGTGAAGCCCTCCTGACACCTGGAGTTGTAGGAGAAATTAAAGATCTCGGCTTTGTTACACCCCTGAATGCCAAGACCCACTGAGGCACACAGCTGCAGTGCAATAGGTTCTGCAAGCAGAGTAATCTGCGAGACCAAGGCAGAAGTCACTACACTCCTATCATTTTTCTAAATTCTTCTTTTCCTGTAAAATGTTCTAAGACGATATATTCTGCTAAGCACTTCACTACATTTGGTTATTATGGAGATAAAATATATTTAGACTGGACTTTGACAGTAATCCTACAACTGCTAAGCTCGTTGAATATTTAAACAATTACTTTTATGAATATAGTATGTTAATATAGCCTTATAACCAAACTAAACTTACCTTTAGCACACATCAGTTAATAAAAAATTAAAACATTCATCAGGATAGCACAGGATTTAATTGAAACACTATTAATAAATTAATGAATTGAAATAAAATACGATGCATTAAATTATGTTTAGGGCTTGTTTATAATTTCACATATTTCCATGCTAGTTTTTCCATATTATGATATTGGATACAGATTATTAAAGCACAATCGACTGTGGCAATGTGGACTTATCTGCTTTTCAAGTGTTTCTTCTATAATTCGTACAAGCATTTCTCTATCTTCCCAGCATACATTAATGTTACAATACAATACACATTAGCCACGCTGTTCATATCCCATGAGAACAAAAATACACATGCATCTGAAAGGAAGAAATGCATGCTACAGGGTTCTCTGAGACAATACTTCATTTTCTCAGGTTTTTTTCCTTTACTAAAATAACGCATTTAATGGAATTTTCTGTAAGGAAATTACAATTAATAAAGAACTAAATTACAAATCCATTAGATTTCAGTCACTGCAGCAACAAAACAGAGTTTTCATGAACACTCAAAAAATCCAATAATGTAACCTCTGGTAAAGCTTGAAAAAGCCCTGAAGGACAAGGCAGTTAGATCAATATTAGTTTATTTTAACTGCTGTGCAGTATGAAGAGATGAGGCTGATCATCTGATGGATTTTATTACCTGTCGGAGAGATAAGTCCTGGTGATAAGAGGCCTGGAACTCCATGGGGCAGAAGACGTGCATTTTCTTGTATCGCAACTCCTAGTGAACGCTTGGGGGGTCTTCCTGGTCGTGAGCTGATGAAATAAGAGGATAAATGAAAACTTATTTTCTGTTTGAAATATATGCTTACTATATATGGTATTGATTTGTATAAAATATATGAACCATCAGTGATACACAAAAATATATTACAAATTCTTGCTCAGGAAAAAAGAAAAATATGTTGATTAAACATACAAGAACTGTCAAACAGCACCTACAGTTAACACAATCATGAGCTCAAAGTCACATAAATGACTAGTAAGATTTTTTTTTTTTATTCTGCATCACAGGACCATAAGGAAAACAATCCGTATTTCTAGCCCTATTGCACCACTACTGCATTAATTAATATCTTAGTATTACTGTCTGTAAAATGGATCTCGAGAAATCCATATGCATGTGTAATTCACACACCAAGTCTTGAAAATGCAACTAGATGCATCACTCAGCTCCCAAGCCACGGTTTATAGGGGTTGGGGATTAATGATGCAATGACTACAGGGATGCCAGAGCTATTCAGGTTGGGCGCACGAGAATTTATGAGCTGAGACCCTGTGTGGGATGACCAGAGCCACGCTGCTTCCAGCCACCGCTATGGGCCAGCTCAGGGCTGACCAGGCGCTTCGCAGAAGGCACATCTGTATCTGCCTCTACTGTCCATACACTAGTCAAGCTCTTCCAATATCCAGGGCTTCCATGACCTTACAGGGGGCTAGCGGAGAGGGGTCTCAGCAGTAACTGCTCCAAAGTCTGTGTACATGCCTGCACCACAGAAAACTGAAAGTTGTGCTGCCTAAAGATGAGAAGTTGAAACCCTGAATGCGACATAATCTTAAACCTTGCCTTCTGAACCAGGGCAGGTAACTGTCTAATTCTGAAGATGCAGCAATAATTTAACACTGAGCTCTTCCAAAACTGATTACTTATCGTTACGGATTGACTGGTGGTTTTAATTATTACAGATAGGTTACATCAAGAATGTTAGTCCTGTCAAAAATCTCCCTGTCCCTTGACCAGCTTACAAATTATGATTGCAGGTTTTAATACAAAGTGTTAAACATCTGTTTATGGACCTGTTACATTTAACTACTGTTTTCAACTACCACATTTATCCTTTACATCAGCGTGCATACATGTAATCATCCTACCCAGCTGCCATCATAATACAGAGATTTACAGACTAAAAAACCATTTGAATCAATGCTTCCCCAAGCCAGCTAATAAAAATGCAACTCCTCATGTTTGGAAAAGTATTGCTGCTTCGCTTTGGTCAAAACAAATTTTACTCTGTTGAATAATAGAGCTTTTGACAAAATATAGTGAAACATTGTATAAAATAACTAAGCTGCAACAATGAATGAGGTTTGAATAGAAAGCATTTCCAAAATGACTTCTGGTTCACAAAGAAATTTAAGTTAAACCCCACTCTATCAACTTACAGTGGCAAAGCCCTCCATCAATGTAAGACAAACTCTGTGTTTAAATGAAGACAACTTCCAGCAACACTACACAGAGGTACCATTAACCTGTTCATTTTTCACAGTGTGCTAGTGTTATTTTGTTTTACTGTACATCAAAGTAGCACAAAATCATTTTTTTGGTTTATTATTTTATCTCTATAAAACTATTCCCCCCTCTTTTTAGCTTTGAGTTTGTCCATTTTGTATTTCATTTTATTCAGTACTTCTTCCATTTTTCTTTTTTATGCTTTAAGTTGTTCATCATACTATGATGGCTATGTAGTAAAGCCTACTACAAGAGCCCAGACCCACTAGGCTATAATAAAGTAAAGCTAAAATAAGGGTCTTTGAGTTTCACAGGAAGTCAGATGCACAAATACATTCTCTACTAAAATCACCGCTGAAATCATCCAATGCACAAGAATATTGTCTAACAGATAGTATAAGGCCAGTATGTGGAGGTTTTAAACAAAAAAGGATCATTGCTCTTTTGATTTACAGAAGCCTGTGCTCATACACACAAATGTGTAAGTGCTTCTTTGGAACTTACTGTCTCTGAAAAAAAAAATTACAAAACAGCTAAAATTAGCAGCTTTCTCCAACAGAAGAGCTCAATCAAAAAAACTACAAAACTGACTCTCAAATACTAACAAATCTTTTGCATAAAACTCGGTATGTTGATATTAATCTAAGAAAACATTTTTAAAAAATTAAATAAATAGTGTTCAATTATTTTTGTGAAGAGACATTTTACTTATGATTTGGGTTTTCAAAGGAAGAGGAGGGGAGACCGTGGAGTTTCACTCCTGGTTATGAGATTTGCACAGACAACAGTTTATGTCGATGACTTGACTCTGAGCAGACAACACACAGCCCACAGGTTTAGCAGATCAGATCTGTAGGTGTTTCCCAGCATATACTACAAGCAGAAGTGAAATTCTCCAACCTGTGGTCGTGCACTGACCCGTATAGATGTCCAGAGTTTAGAAAGTTTTAGGAGATAACAGAAGTTCACACCAAAACTTACTCAGGTCCCTCTCAGCGTCCTGCAGACTGCATTTATATCCTGCCTGCTTACACAAGTGTGGCAAGCAGCACTGAGAAAACAGAGCACTGTCTTCCCTGGGTTTTGGTGTCTTTGGGACTGTGGTCCTTTTGGGGAGATGGTTTGATAGACTCTGAAGGTAAAAAAATAAAAGCAGCATACTTCTAATCTACTCACATCCTTTTAGTAAATAGTACTATAAAGCAGTAACTACTAGAGGCCAGATTATGGTTTTACTTCTACAGCTGCAGCCATAGTAATTTGAATGGAATTGTTCCCAGCTGAACCTGTTCAAATAAAATCAAAGTCTTTTGTCTCTAATTTAATGTTAGCTTTTAAATGAAAAACTCAAAGCTGGAAGCTGACTGTTACTCATACACAATCTGCGAAAGAACCATTTGGGTCTTGTACATTGTGTTCTGCAGTTGACACGAGAGCACCTTCCATGCTCTGTGCCTGGTTCTGAACCATGGGAACGGAGCGCAGAGCCACCCGGCACTCCAATGCGTGGCTGCCGAGCCTGCAGCAGGTACCTCACACTTCCACCTAGGTTGCCCAGAGATGACCACAGAGCCTGTCACCTATCATAAGGCAAGATCTTCTGCCTGGGAGGACACCAGCACTCACAAATCCAAACAATTCCAGTCCCGTTTTGGCCTGAAATAAATTTTTCTTGCATTTTTACTTAAACATGAAACCAGAAATTTCATAGAGAAGAAACACAAATGTTTGCTCTAAATATTATTCTTTGATAAGATATACAGAAAGGAAACAAAAACATTAGTAGATTCAACATTTTAATGGGATTTAGGTTATGTTGTGAATATGCTGCTGTCAGGACTAGGGCTGGCATCACCAAGCACTGGAATCTTGCTGGTCTGTCTTAACACTCCCAGTACCTACTTTGCTTCCTATCGTCTTACAAAGTCTAGAATTTTGACAAATTTCACATCTACTATTTAAAACATATCTAACTCTCACAATTCAGAGACAATTGCTAATACATGCCTTGAGCAGAGATCGTAAGGCAAGTAGAATTATCATTTGGGAATGTAAGACATCCCAAATATGTATGTAAGTATTACCATATAAATGCTAATAGCATTAGCATATAAACTTTAATATTATTTCTCCTAATCTTTCGTCATCCTGCTCTTCTACTGCATTTTCTTCTTCACCTTTTCCTTCATCTCATTCAAGAAAGTTATATATTCAAGAAGTGTAGAAAAATCTTTTCCTAATTGACAACGAAGGAAGCATAAACAGGAATAATTAGCTTCAAAGAATTTTAAATATATTTCTTTGACATTCTAAAATCTCTACATAAATTTTATATTTACCATCAATAGGCCTTTGTGAAAGGAAAATTACTCAATTCTAAATTAGATGTTAGTTAGGAACTGCTAGTTTACAGATTATCTCTTAAAACATTTTAAAGTACAAGAGTTATGGTCACAAGTGAAGACCATGGAGATAAACCATGGAGATAAACCCCGTGTCTTAACCTTCTGGACTTACAATATCCTTTCTCATTAATACATTTAGTAATCTTACTCTTTTTTACTAAATATATGCAAATAAATTGGCCAGCTCGAAGTCTATACTGATTAAAATTCTATTAGCATCTCTCAAAAGCAGGAATAAACCCAAAAAGCCCTTGGGTCATCAATTACTTGAAAGAGAAAATGATTGGAGGTTTTAGTGTTTTACCCATGTTGAACACTACGGTTATACCGTGATACTTGTGATCCTCTCCACCCCACCCTCGCAAAATCACTAACTCTGGAAGAAGAAAATGAATTAATCTGAATGTTTTTTGTATTTTGTTTGGAATTAAATTTGTCAGAGATTAAATTATATTTTAAGCAGTATATTTGACAGTTCTAATTTATATAGTAAAATCTTTAGAAATCATTCATTAATGTCTTTTTCCTTCATTTTGCGCTCCTGTTGAGAGCTATTTTTATTATTTTCCTCTCAAAGTTTTATATATTCCCTAGACATCCCAAGGATTTTTAATTTGAACCAAAACATAGAATAAGGCTATATTTGTGATTTTGTTAAAATTACTGATCAGCTCCATCTTTTATAGATCTATTTTACACTCATTATAGATAACTATATTTCATAAAATCCACAAATTTATCAACACTTCATGAAATGTAATTAATCAGTGGAAACATACAGCACATCACTGTTGATGTATGATAGTGCTCTACTTTTGTGCTTTTAAATATAGGAGATTTACTAGAATCAGAAGTGAATTTGCATATTAATCAAGACAAATAAACATGTGGTGATTTAACTAGGAAACTGTTATTTGGATGACAATTTAATCAGCACAGGTTGAAAGGTCCATCACTGCAGCATCCTGTTTCTGCTAAAATATTGATTGCGTTACTGATTTCAGTAATGCTTTATTTTACAGGGCACAAACAACCATGTAATTACTCTTTAATTGAATGGTAATTGCTTGCTGGCAATTATTTGTTAAGTTTTGGAGTTTAATTACTAGCTTATTTGT